GTCCTTGACATCTGCTCAAACAAAGTTTTTGCAGGTTAGCCTGTCTTTCTTTGTAAAGCTGATGATAGTTGGCTCTTTCCATTTTCACTAATAGACAGATATTTGGAAAATATTTTAGTTCTTGTAAGAGATAATATATTCACCTCCAGTGTCCTCCAGTGTCTACTTTTGCTTCAATTTCTATCTAGTTATTCATGCATGTGCACATGTGTTCATGCGCTGCTTGTGATGCTGACTTATTAGTCTATTGAATTTACATACACATCTATTACTTCTCTTCTCTGGGATATCAGCTGCTGGTCCTTCTCTGTTGGTTAATTCTTCATAAACAGTTAACCATTTTTTTGTCTTTCTTTAAAAAACAGCTTCAAATTCCAGATGAAGCTTTGTCCTTACTTTTGGGTATGGGCTACAAAGAACGGGATTCCAAGAGAGCGCTGCGCATGAACAACCAAGTAGTAGAAAATGCTGTTGATTTTCTTGTTGAAGAGAAAGAAAAGAAAGCAAGGAAAAGGGTGGATGACCTTAAGCGGCAGAAGGAGATCATGTGAGTTCATCTTTGTTTAAAATATAATTCCTTTCTGTATTTCATTAAGATTAGACACATTTATCAAATGTATCTCTACCATATTAACTGTAGGGAGCAAAAGTGTTATGGAACGACTCCCCTTGGAAAAGCTGTTGATATCGAGAGGCTGAATGAATTGGTGTCAATTGGGTAAGTAAAACTTGTATCACAGGATCTTTCGTGTGGGGACGTTCCATGTATCCCTTGCATAGGACAATTTGACTGAAACTACTTTTTAAGATCATAACTCATTACTAACTCTGGATCTGAAAATCTGAAGGAGAGCTTTTTCAGCTATCAAACAGTACATTTGGTTGATAAACCAGAGTGACTGAGCTTCTTTTATCCTAAGTCAGGCTTATGTTGAGTCTTAAAACTGGACTGATATTTAAAACTCATTAATATTCCTGAATGCCAGGTTTGAGAAAGAGCTTGCTGCAGAAGCACTTCGACGAAATGAAAATGACACACAAAAGGCTTTGGATGACTTGACAAATCCAGAAGCTAATTCTTCGATACAGGTAAATTTTCTGGCATGAATAAATGTCCACGTGAAGCTATTAGTGGATTACTTACCCAGGTATAAATTGCTGGTCGAATTTTATTACAAGTTAATAATTTGGGAATTGGTTGGGTTGTGTTCCTACCAGTTAATTCTACCTAGGTTTGCAGATCAGCTGCAGCAAATGCTTGTCAAAAAGTGTTTGAATGCCCTAGGAACTTCTTTAGGAAAAGGAATATGCAAAATAGTGATCAATCAAATATTGCAAAGTGCTGGTGATTATTATCGTTAGAGGTAGACCAAGAGAAATCTCTAGTGGTTCTACTTTTTTTTAAAAAAAATGTGAAGAACTAATATTATCTAGAAGTATCAGAAAGATGGGTCGGTGTCTCTTGCTCTTCTGATTTAGACGAACTTAAAATAAACAACTGGCAAGTTTGATGAATGGCAGTAGTCAACTCATAAATACTTTTGACACCAACTTGACGTTTACTAGCCATATGGACACCTTTGTAAATACTTTTGATACCAACTTGATGTCTACTAATGAAAGTTTGACTTCTTGAAAAAAACAATGGGCTAGCTTGATAATTAGTTAATTTAATAAAATGGGAATAAGCACCTGATTTTTCTGGGACCGTGCAATTGGAAAAACTCAACCATTTACTTATTCAATGAGACAGTTGTATTTGCCGCACGGTAGATAGCCCGTGCTTCGACGATTCTTGTACTAGTGGAATGGAATGACTCTTTGATATAGTTGAAAATGGTGCAGAGAAAATAGGATTTATCAATTTCGGGTGTTCTGACTTGCAGTGCTCATTTATCAAATAATATCTCTGGTTATATGCGTCTTCTTTTCGTAATGCAGATACATATTGAGTCTAGGAAGAAGAAAAGATTGCGTCAAGCAGCCAATGCTTCAATTGAAGAACTTGTATCCATGGGTTTCCCCAGAGAAGCAGGTATCTAGTATTTGTTAAATTCATCCTGAATTAAGTTCTTATCCATGATCCTTTTTTTTAGTAACTGCCTGGTTTTCTTAATTTTGAGGTGAGCGTTTTGTTGCGTGGCATTGCCGTATTAGCGCTTAGGGTCCAGTAAAGTGAGTTCACTGGGATCCCGTTTGCTTTAGCTTTAAAAAGTTGACACATTACCTTTTAGGGACTCAAATCCAACAACACCAACAACAACATACCTAGTGTAATCATCTCCCCGATACTTCTTCAACCTACCTCTACCTCTCTCATACCCACTATAGCCAACCTCTCATACCTCTTCACTAGGGCGTCTCTGCATCTCCTCTTCACTTGTCCGAACCATCTCAGCCTCAGCTCTCTCATTGTGTCCGCCATGGCCACTCCCACCTTGTTGACAAATAGTTAGAAAGATCTCTTAGAATGACAAAAGTGGCTAAGACAGAACTGTTCACTTAAACTGATCTCGTCAATTCTATTAACATTTCATTTTATTTCCGTTAATAACTTTTTGACCTATCATTCTTCCATAAAAAGTGATTATTTTAAGTGTTGATTTCGTAACATGATGGGTAGAATAAATTCCAAGAAATGTATTTGAGTGAAAAAGCAGAAGAATTATTAAGGATTGTAGGCAAGAAGGTCTCTCCCAGTCCTCAGCCACCAAATAAAAAGGAAAAGGACAAAAAGATGTAGGGCCTTATGTACCCTGATATTGGTGGAATTTCATGAATTGTGCTTTCACCCGTTGGTTAGGTAGTTTTTGAGGTTAATGCAGTAGTTAGCAGACCTTTTGGAGTTACGTTATGGTTTGTGGGTGTGTGGAGGGGGTGTTAAGTTGTCGACAATAGTTGTGGGATGTCGGATTAGTCTCCTTGCATGATATTGAACAATTCTCACCTCATGAGCTACCTTTTGGCATTGAGTTAAGGCCCAATGTCCAGTTCTTAACAAAAGGGAACACCAATCTCATGACAGCATCAAGGAATAAATCGAGTAGACTACCTTTAAAATTTAACTCTTGCAAAATCTCCGTATATGAGGATCGCCATTGCCTCAAAGAAGAATATCATGTAAGAATTTATCTGATTGGGCTGTTTACAATGGTTTTGGCAGCCAAGAAGTTCTTTCAGTGTCTGGAGTCTCCTTACTTGGTGACCGTGTTTTCTATAACTTGCCCTATCTTCCTTGCAGTACAAAGATGAAGAGTTTCCTATGCTTTTTTTTTTCTTGATCAAAAAGCATAGGGAGCTCCTCATCTCTGTACTGCGAGTGATTTCTTCTCATCTGTCCTAGCCTTGGTGGATGGAGTTACCTGTCTGGTTTTGGTGGGAGGTGACAGGTATCTCGTGAAATTAGTCGAGATGCACGCAAGCTGGCCCAGATAGCACGGTTATAAAAAAATTATTGGTTTCTGCCTTGCTCAACAATCGTGCTAAGCGGCTGCCTGCTGGCAATTCACTACTAGTTAATTAGAAGTCATGAACTCTCATTTGCTTTCATTTCTTGTAAGTAGGATAATCTAATTAAATATGGTCGTCATTTGAGCTGACATAATAAATATAAAATGGTTTTGTTTTGGCAGCGGCTGCAGCTATTCGCAGCCTTGGCACACGTCAAGCAGCGATAGATCATCTGCTTCAAGGAACAAGTAATACTGCTGCAGCAGGAGATCACAATGTAGACAATACTCTTCCCAACGACCAGGGGGGAGATGGAATTGCAAATGATCCTCTAACTAATGACCAAAGTGAAGATGGATCAGGTATTAACGCAGGCTCAAGTAGTGATGGAGGCCCAAGTCATAACAAAGTTGAGACGCGTGATGTAGAAATGGAAGATGAGATTACTGGCGAATTACTAAAAGGAGATGCTTACTCTGACTACGACATTGAGGTCACGGAAGAAGGTGAAGCTATAAACGAGTACTTAGCTTTAATAACCGTAGGAGTTAACGTAGAGATTGGTTCATCGTCATAGTTAAAAAGTACAATACATGTTGAGAATTGTCCGTATTCGTAGTTTAAAGTACAGTACATTTTAACAAAAACTTGAATAGTTTGCTGTGAATAGAACACATATAATCTTATATATATATATAGCCTAATCCTTGATAGGTTTTGAATAAGAGTGATGCCTTGCGTTTCCTTTTTGTTAAATTATTTTGCGTTTATGGTGCAGAGTTTTGTTACTCTGTCAACTTCCTCTTGGTCCTGATTCGGAGATGGATTTAGGATTAAAGCTCTATGAGTTAAATCTTTAAGTTTTTTAGCATTGAATCTGTTATATTTAAAAATTATGGATTCAAATCTTACTATGTGTTGTAACAATAGTGAATTTTTGTACAAATTTACGAGTCATGTTCTAGTGATGCTCAATAATTTGTTTTTTAAAGACAAAAACGAGAGCTGGAAAAATAGATTGACGTCATGATGATAGAAAGCTTAACCCCTCTTGTTCAAGACTTTGGGTGTGTTCACTGTTCAGTATGGGGAAAATATTTTCCACAAAATGTTTTACAATTTTTTCATGTTCGATTAGTTCAAATTTTTTGAAAGTTAAACAAATACTTAAAAACGAGGTTTCCAAAACAAGTTCACAAGTGACATCCTACGTTAACCCTCTCCTCACACATAGTATCAATCTGGATTATATATAAATGTTTTCAAGATATGTTTTTTTGTTTACGTACCCAGCACAAGAAAGAAAGTAAGAAACCCACTTATTTTCCTAAGATGTACCTTCTGTTTCTTGCTTTCCTTTTCCCTTTTGAATTTAGATTTCTCCTCTTTAGAGGGGATGAGGTCTTTGGTTTAAAAACAAACCAGGAAAAACTCTGCAATTACGTTCACCATACAACAAATGAATGATAAAATAAAATGTGAATAAACTCACCAACAATTAAGCAATTAGAATTTTGAAAGTAGTGCACAATCTTTGAGAATGCTCGAGCTAAAATATCATCTTATATTATAACATTAGGGTCATGTTTCCTCAACAAATCTGACTTCTATCCCTGTACCTTAAGAAAAATGTGTTGTACCTTTCAAAAAAGTTCTATACTGAATCAGATAAACAAGTAGAAAGAGAGTTGAGGCTTAGCAGCTTGATATCGATAAGTCGATGAATGTAACATTTCTGCAGTAAATTCCTTCATAGGTCATGTATGTATTATGTTGCTACGGTGATATTTTCATCATCTGAATTGTCTTCCTCCGCTCTCACGTGCTCGTCTGAATCAATCGAAGGCTGATACACTGAGCCTGTCACCATGGCGATCTTTTCATTTTCAAAGTTATCTTCAACTTTCGTTTCTCTGAAATCTTTTGGAAGTGTATTACAGTTAATGGTATGCCACACTGACCTTTCTTCTTGAAAGAGCCTGCATAGAACAATTAACAATCAGAGCAAATGCTGACAACAAGAAGAAGTCAACAACATACCTAGTGTAATCCCACAAGTGATGTTTGGGGAGGGAAGTGTGTACACAGACCTTACCCCTACCTTGGGAGGTAGAGAGGCTGTTTCCGAAATCAGAGCAAATGCTGACAACAAGAAGAAGTCAACAACATACCTAGTGTAATCCCACAAGTGATGTTTGGGGAGGGAAGTGTGTACACAGACCTTACCCCTACCTTGGGAGGTAGAGAGGCTGTTTCCGAAATCAGAGCAAATGCTGACGACCAGAGAAAATGAGTTGTCCTTGTGCTTATATGGAGAACACGCTATAAATGTTAAGATAACTAAACCTAAATGATTGCATAGCAATAATGCTAACATTCAGAAACATTTAAGAGTAGTTGTTAAGTGTTCAATGGAGTAGCCTAGTGAATTCTTTCTATTTAAAATTGATCTATCAAAGACATACTTTTGAAGTCCAGCATAATGTGCATCAATCTGAGGGAGGAACTTTGTTCATTATCCAAATATATACAAATCTTGAGTATGAAAATATCAACTACACAACCAAGCATCAAATCCCACAAGTGTAGTTCTCACAAAAAGGTGGCCACATAAGGTGGGGGTAAGGTCTGTGTACACACCACCCTCCCCATACTCCATTTGTGGGATAACACTGGGTTTGTTATTGTTATTAAGACTATCAGAAAATACCAAGACAACTAAGATTGGAGAAAAGAATGAAAAATTATTTGATTCCTACACCATCACAGCATGTTTGATGTGGTGGTCTGCTGACTTTTGACTGAGACCTATAATAAGCATGTGTTTTCAGCTTATGGTACTTCTTGATGAATGCTTTTGACCAGCGTTTTACTAACATGAAAAACAACTGGATTTCCACTTCCTACCTAGAAAAGTCTCCGATTTCTCAATACGTCAGCAGCAGATAGTAAGTTACTAATGGAATCTAGTATTGAAATAGATATAAACAGCAACCAGAAATAACAGACAACCCAAAAGAGAAAGGATGACTTGCTGCCGTCATCAGCAGCGATAAGAGAGAAATTGAACAAAAAATCAGGAGTAACTTTCTTTAAAAATCAAGGAGAATAACTTACGGGTGTTTGCAGAGGGTTGGGCAGTGTACTGTGAGAGCGTACTTGCAGGTGGACAATTCAGTTATAGAGCTTATCATTGCTCTAGGCTCTGAGCAAACAAACCTCACCTGGAATTGAGTCCATCAGAAATATAGAATTTTTGGATAAAAAAGACAAATAGCAAAAAGCAAAAGAATAGCTTCATACCTCTGTCTGTCGTTTTTCATTTGTTAAATCACATACGGTTCCGTTAGTATATATATGAGCATGATATCTACAGAAGTCAAAGGGTTGGAGAAATTAATTATTCTGAAGAAGAAATTAAAAATTTTAATCCATCCACACATCAGGCATCGTGCTTCAAGTTCGAGAAAGACTTCACAAAATTTTCTAAAATTGAATAAATGTAAGATAATACTCCCTCCATTTCATAAAGAATGACCTGGTTTGACTTGGCACGAAGTTTAAGTAAATAAAGAAGACTTTTGAATCTTGTGGTCCTAAATTAAAGTTATGTCAAATGTACAAAATTGCCCTTAATCTTGTGGTCTTAAACATGCCACGTGGAAAGCAAAAAGTAAAATGTTACCAAAAAAGGAAAGAGGTCATTTTTTTGAAACTGACTAAAAAGGAAAGGAGGTCATTCTTTGTGAAACGGAGGGAGTAGTTGTTTTCTGTAGTCAACTACTTATGTGAAACTTGAAACTGAAGAGCCTTTGCTTTTAATTGTGGTTAGCAGACTCACTACAAAGAATGATCTGGTTTGACTTGGCACGGAGTTTAAGTAAATAAAGAAGACTTTTGAATCTTGTGGTCCTAAATTAAAGTTATGTCAAATGTACAAAATTGCCCTTAATCTTGTGGTCTTAAACATGCCACGTGGAAAGCAAAAAGTAAAATGTTACCAAAAAAGGAAAGAGGTCATTTTTTTGAAACTGACTAAAAAGGAAAGGAGGTCATTCTTTGTGAAACGGAGGGAGTAGTTGTTTTCTGTAGTCAACTACTTATGTGAAACTTGAAACTGAAGAGCCTTTGCTTTTAATTGTGGTTAGCAGACTCACTATGTACCCAAGGTTTATAATAGAAGCTCTTTCCAAGCCAGTTAGTAACTCACAGTTTGATATCCATACCTTTGTGATGCATCTTTCGAACGGGGATCCTTTAGTACTGAATTATCTGAGTGCTTCTGATGATAAGCTGCGGTAGCCTCAGCATCATAATAACCCAAGATAAATTCTTGAACCAACTGAAAGCACATAACAAATATTTTCTTTGATCAGAGAATACACTTTTTAACAAGGCAAATAATTGATCAACAATGCATATACTACCATTTCATTTTATTTGACCTAGTTTTATCAGACACTAAGTTTAAGAATATAAAGAAGATTTTGTAGTCTTTTAGTTTTAAAGTAATAGCATTGCCGACAATATCCTTTGAATGTTGTGGTCTTAACCATGCCAGGTCGTTTTTATAAGGAGTTGTCATTAAGGATAAAGTGAGAATGTTGAAATATAAAAAAATACTAAATATAGAAAAAGACACTTTTTTTAAAACAAACTAAAAAGAAAAGTAAAACAAATATATTAATACGGAGAGAGTAAAAGATACTCCTATGTACATGAAAACAGTATGCAGGCTATGATGAACTAAGAAATGCAATTGCTCAATAAACATCCTCCCTCCATATGTTTGACCTACTTTTTTCTCCAATAAATATGTTTGTGCTACCTTCTATTTTCATCATCCCAATAATTCAAAATCTATACTTGAATGAGAAACCCAACAAGTTCAAGATGTAAAGTCATTCAATTTACTACTATATCATAATATTTTGATTTTGATATGACTTCTCTATACTCTTCACATCTTTCAACTATTATCTTTTCAATTACGATATAATCTGCATAAAAGAAAAGATATGACAGAACAAACAGTTTAGTTCCATTTGCAAACTTACAGGCAATCCTTAAAGTCTAGTAAATCATCTGTCTTCTATAGATGTAAAAATTACCAAAAAGCAGCAAGAACAAGAAATTTTCGGAACATATAAGAAATAGGCTATTAATTCTTTTTTCCTTCTCAAATTTCCAGCTCAGAAAGCGTTGCCTCAAAGATTTTGGCATCACCCACTGGACCTGGATATAGTCAGAAATCTATACTAGATCTTCTTGGCTATTTCAAAGTCGAGTATAACAGCTCATTCAACTTCACCACCATGAAAGTCAACATGAGTCATACCAAATGGGAGGGGAGGATGGGATGGTCTAGTGGTCGAGAAACGGGAGTAACTACATAGAGATTCTCGGTTCAAATCCCAGCCATAGCACTTAGTGTGACATCATTTGCTATGGTCTTTGCCGTCTTGGTGGGTAGGATTACCTTTGGCAACATATGTGGCTGTACAGGCTGCCCAGTGGATTAATCAAGGTGTGCAGGGGGGGGACGAAGTGGTTTTAGATTATCCAATGTCAGTATCTGATCTTTTGAATTTTCCAAAACCAACCCACCCCTAATCACATGACAGGAGCTTTAGCAAGGCAACAAAGACTCAGCCAATTAAATATTTAAAATATTCTTGGTGCAAAAAACAAAAGGTTATTCTGAGAAATCATGCCTGAAGAACACACTTAAAAGTGAAGTAAAACATACCTTTTCATCCTCCAAATGAACTTGCCTCAACTTCTTCTCATAACAGAATTCATATGACCACCACCCTTCTTGCTGTAGAAAAGTTTGATAGTGCAAGATAATAGAAAAAATTAGACTACTTCTTCATCAAGCGGTAAGGGAAGAACTAGATGGATTCTCACCCTGACAAGGCATTTATCCTTCAGTACTTCAAGTAGTTCATCTGGCGTCTTCAACTTGATGCGTTTCTCAGTGTCCACGACCAAACTGCTTATATTGGTTGTCACTGGTTTACCAATCTTCGGTTTATTGACTTTAGGCAAATAACAGAGGAACTTCTCCCCGTTTTTGTTGGGCATAAGAATAGTTTCCTGGTCATCATCCTGCAAAACAGGTGCACCAGTACATAAGATTTGTAGAGTGATCATACATGTAAATTTACCCTCCATCTCATCATTATTTGCTCAGAATATCAGGTCAAATTTCTGTTTGCATCCCCCTTCAACAGGTTGCATACAAAATTAATGAAAGTATCAGTTGCACTTTTCCCTCAGGTACCAAAGAAGCCTAAATGTTCTCAAATTTATCCCACAGTTCATAACCCTCAAGTTACCAGTGTCACCACTAAAGGATCCTAAAGGTGGTACTATACTTCAAATACGTTGCTCAAAAGAGGCTGTTCAGCATGTTTCCCAGTTCCCAATGTAATCTTATACGTATGACTAACATAGATTTAAATTCTTAATTGTAGTTTCAAGAACAGTAGACTCTAAAATTATTCATGTGTTTTAGCGCGTAGTGTACTTTCCAGTTTTACATCCACTTCTTAGAATCCTATTTAAAATTAAAGATCATCTTTTATTGCAAGCATATAAAGTTTTTGAAGTGCATAGTGTGCCTATGAATATGTAAAAAGGTGAGAGATATGACAAATAACTTACCGGTTGGAAAGGTGAGTCTTCTGAATGAAACTCAACCTTATATTTTGGTTCTTTAGAACTTTGACTGAATGATGCGCCTGACACAAACAGGAATGAATGACAAGAATTACAACCTAATAGTAGCAAATAATAATCATTCTGGAAAGTACTCTATTTTGAGCAAGATGTAAACTTTGCCAGCACTGGTGTAATCAAGTGAACAGAAAGGCTGCTGGCTTTCCTTTTTCATTCAAGAACAATAATTTAAGGGCATGAACAATAGAGTTTCTCTTTTCGTGACTACCCTGTAGGTCACACTTAGACACGTGGAAACAGCCTCTTTTTGGAAATGCAAGCGGAAGACTGTGAACGATATACACCTCTTCCCCTACCCCAACACTAGATAATGGGGGCACTTGGTGCACAGGGTACGCCTACCTCCCTTGCCAGCTCAAGCTAATATTCCCAGCTATTAGTTAATGCTTCTATTACTAAAAATTTAGAGCATCAACCAGTTAAAGCTTTTTCCTTTTTTTGTGTAATTCTATTAACCAATTTCAGTTATTATAATAATCATTCTAAAAACACAAAAAAGAAGAAGAACTAAGCCTAGAAATCAAAGGTAAACAAACACTAAACAGGATTATTAACCTAGTATTGTTGGCTCATTATTTCCCTTTCCCAATCATGCTTCATTAACAACACGCCTAAAATTCTTACCTCACGTTTGACCATTGATTTTGAAGTTGAAACTTGAAAATTTGAGCTTTTGAAATTGCGATTTTGGAATTTGAAGTTATGTTTAGACATGCATTTTAGTTGGAAAAAAATTGAAGTTTTGCAAGTGTAAGTCCCAAAAACCCAAAACATGACCCTTTTTTTGATAACCAGGTGTCCAGGTCAACTTGTACGCACCCCGACTAATTCCACGGATACCTTCTATCACCTATCAGCAACAAGTACCAGATAACTATATTCTTAGTCACCTGACCATTTTTGTCTCTTTGGAATTTGAACTGAGACTGATCACTAGGCCACACCCTTGGGTACAGAACTTGAAAATATTTGAAGATAATTTTTAAAATCTACAATCAACTAGCTAATTATCGAATGATCTCTCTAAATTAAGCAAATACTGAGCTACATAATCCAACACGAACAAAAATATTTACAAACTAAACTTAAAAATTCATTTTTTATTACAATTAACACATCAACAATGGACTTTAAATTAAATTTTTTTTTCCATTTAGCATTGAAATAACAAAGAAAGTACTTGAGATTTTAGGTATACCTGCGTGAACAGATAATATCTGAGAGGAAGTGACGACGCCGTATAAGAGACTAATGGAGAAAATTAGAACAATCAAACACCATACCGATCTCATCTTCTTCCTTTTCTCTGGTTTTTTTTTTTCGCCCCAAATTGAAACCCTAATTATGGTGTAGAATATGATACAGTGGTCTGCGAAACAGAGAATTTCTTGCTTGTTGACTATACTGTTTATTTTGTTCAAATAGATGATCATAAATTATCTGATTTTAACTTGACACGAAATATCAAAAAAAATAATTAAACCTTATAATCATAGATTAAAAATATAATCTAAATATATTTTTATTTTGTGACATATCAAGTAAAAAGTTAGAAATTAAAAAATATTATTATTAAAAATAGATTTAAAAAAGAAGAAGCATATTCTACAATATTAGATGACATATTCTAGCCAATCAAGTTGGAGCTTATCATTGGATGAACGTGAATTGACCAATCAAATCACATAGTTGTAACTTGTAACTTATACCACTTTTTATAAACTATATATTATTAATACGGATCTTCATAATTCATAAAAGGGACAAAATGAAAATACGAAGTGAGAAGAGAACTCATAAATTGAATGTCATAAATTTCTCTATAAGCTATAAATTTAAGTTCAGGTTCAAGATTTAAAATGAAGGCATTTAAGATTAAATTACTTATTCGTAAAATTTATATTCATTATTCATGACAAATTTGATAACTATCGAGATATTCGTGATGAATAATTCAAACTTTTGGTTTTAACCAAAATCGACTTATACTTAATCATAAAACCCCTGCACGTTAAATATAGAGAATTCTATTAAAAACAGTGAATATATGAACACTTTTAGAAATATTAATTAAACTTTTGTCCTTTATTAAAATACTTTACGATAGATAAAATTATTAATTCTATTATCCTCTCCAAATAAATGTGTGCTCCATTTGAGGCATCCATTGCTTTTTGAAGTCTATTGGTGTGAAAGTGAAATTCCCTAAAGGGATTTTGTTATATGATTGTGATGTTGAGTTATATGATTAGGATTATATAGTTTTTTTTTCTTGTATTTAGTTTTGTTTAAGTTCAATAAGTAAATAGTTAAATTTATTTCAGCCTTTTGTGTATTGATGCTTTTTTTTGTTTTACCATAAAGTTGAAATAACTTTAAAAAGAAGCTGGTGATTTTGTTTTTCTAGCATGTTTTAATAATATGAGTATTGAAGAAAGGGTATTATGTTAAAATGGAGTAAACAATGCTAATTTTTTTTTGCTGAATTTCTCAAATATAATAAAGTCTTAGGTAAAGCAAAATACAATATATTAGCCAACTACCTCCTAGATCAATTACCTTTATACTCGTTTTGTCTCAGTTCATGTTGCACAATTCGAATTTTGAAACTCAAGTTTTACAACTTAATAACTAAACCATACATTAAAGACATCTTTTGCCTTCATTTTTGTTGTTTGTTTTTTAGAGGGTTTAAACGGTTGGTAGGTATTTTGTGGAAAATCATAACAGATGTGGAGAGTTTGTTTTTTTTTTGCTTTATCCCAATCACATGATGATGTCTTTCACTTTATATTTTGTCTGTTTTTTAGAGTATTATTTATTTGTTTGAAACTTTTGAGGTGAGTTGAAGATAACGTGCACTTCATTTTTAGAGGTCCAAACATATTTCATACCCCCACAATATATCTCTTTCTTTCCCTCACCACATATACTTTTCCATGTTGTGTGTCAATTTACTTTTACATATCCAGTTTAATTTTATTATATTTTTAAAAATAATAATTGATATGAATATTTTATTATAGTACTCATAATAATTACTAATGTTTAATCCTAAGTCATAAGATATAAGTTGAAGAATAATTAATTAATGTTTAGGATAAAACATGAAAAAATAGCAATAGTAATAATACTCATATTTTTGTTTTGATATTCTAAGAGTAAAAAAACAAAAGTAAATTTAATGAGAAATTAAGTAGAGACGAATTTAAAATTTAATATTTAAATTTATATTGTGTTAGAAGTTTTAGATTCAAATGAGTTTACTTATCTCTATATTAAAAATTAAATTTTGACTTATAAATGGGAAAAAATAAAATATAAATTTAATTATAAACTTCATCTTGCCATGTATATCATGTAAAATTTATCGTGAACAAGTAAAAATAAATCAAAGGAAAAAAGCACATTTGATTTTGTTGTTGCCTTAATTTGTACTCTCCCAAACGTTCCCCACAATCTAGGATTACACGGTTAGTGGGTCCCACGTTTTGTTGTCGGAATATGGAATATATTTATTAGCTATAATTATAAATCCTTGTTTACATAAAAGAAATAATTCTAGAAAACAACAACAAAATCAACATAATCTTTCTTTCCTAATTAAGGCAACTTTGAATTTAGAAGAATTCAAACTCTGAGATTTTTTATTAAGAACAAATAAGTAGTTAAAGCGACACAAATATCTATAACGTATTTTAGACTATAAATTTCAAAAGTTTTTTTTTCCTTAAATTTTGTGTCAAATCAAATTACATCATATAAAATGATGAGAGCTTATTTTAGATCACAAATTTCAAAGTCTTTCCTTTTTTCTTAAATTTCCTATCACTCAAACTAATTCAAATAAAATAAGATGGAGGAAGTACACTATTTTGTCGAACATAATTCGAATGAAACCTCTCGATCCCATTTAGCTCTGACGCCTTTTTAAAAAATAAATAAATAAATTCAACTATTATGTTGACATTGTTTTTGTGGCGTTTACGTTAAGGTACAAGACACCCTTTTTTTACATTGTATTTTTCTAAATTTTAAATTGTATTTTTTTTAAAAAGAAAACAATAAAAATCAGCTTAAATAATAAAGTGGAGGCATTTGTGCTGTTTTTTCCCCATTTCTGCATAAACAAATATTCCCTGTGAAAAAACCCAAAGAAAACAGAAGTCTCTACGCATTCTTCTCTCTTCAAATTCTCAGAAAATCTGCAAAAATAAATAAATATTTGAAGGGTGTTCAAAAGCAAGCTGAGTATTTACAGATAAGTTGTCTTAAATTATATCCTTAATTTAAATTTTGGAAAAAAAAGAAGAAGAGAAAAAGCAAGAATCTTTGTTTACAGCTGAATAAAGGGGGTATTTTTATCTTCAGGGTTCTTTTCTTTCAATTGGGGTTTGTTTGTTGAGCTGCTTACAATAGAAAGGAGAATTTTTTTTTCTGATATATAGTGTTTTGTAATTTTTGAAGAATACCCTTTTGGATTTAGGGTGATAAATCTCAGTTCTTTGAGTTATTTCTTGGTATTTTGTGAAAAAGATTGGATTTTTTTTCATTTCTTGGCTTCTGGGTTGTGGTGGATTTGTTCTGATTGTAAGTTTCTGTTTGGTTGGTGAAATTTCCTTATCTGGGTTGTGGTGGGGGTTTGGTTCTTGATTTCTAATCTGGTGCAAAGACTCTATTTTTGTACCAGTTAGGTCCTGTTACTTTTCATCTGTTTTAGTGATTTGGATTAGGAAATTAGTTTGAGTTGGGAAAGTTGGATTTGTTGAGCTCAGAATGGGGAAGGAAAGTTGGACAAAGTCGAAAAAGATAGGAGGTAAATCTGGTGAAAGTAGTAGTCCTAGAGCATTTGATAAGGACACAGCAGCTTTCATTGCTATGTCGAAGGAACTTAAGGATGAGGGGAATAAGTTATTTCAGAAAAGGGACTATGAAGGGGCTATGCTGAAGTATGACAAAGCTATCAAGTTGCTTCCGCGGAACCACATAGATGTTTCCTACCTCCGTAGTAATATAGCAGCTTGCTATATGCAGATGGGACTGAGTGAATACCCTAGAGCGATCCATGAGTGCAATTTGGCTCTTGAAGTCACACCGAAATATAGTAAGGCGCTTTTGAAGAGAGCTAGGTGTTATGAGGCTTTGAATAGGCTTGATTTGGCGCAGAGAGATGTTAATAGGGTGCTGGAGATGGAGCCGAATAATCTCATGGCTACTGAGATTGCAGAGAGGGTGAAAACAACCATCGAGCAAAAAGGTATTGGGGTGAATGACATTCCAGTAGATTTGATTCCAGTACCGGAATATGTTGAACCAACTTTTGCTTCAAGTCACTCCAAATCATCAAAAGAGAAGGCTGTAAAGAAGAAAATCAAGAAAGTAGAGGAGAAGATGGTTAATGGGAAGGCGGAGGAGAAGGAATTTGAACACGGAAATGATTTAAAGCAAACCGATAACAGGAATGATGAAAGGTACACTGAGGACCAAAATGAAAATACAGATAAAGACCAGACTCACGAAGAAAAGGTTGATGACAAGATGGAGGGAAATAAAGCTGAGAACAAGACCAACAGAAAGAAAGCTAAGGATAAGAGTAAGGAAAAGAAGAGTAAGGACAAGATCGAGGCAAATAAGGCCAAGGATCAGCGTGAGGAGAACAAAGATGAGGACAATGAGGAGAGGAAAACTGAAGATAAATTGGTGGTGGAGGAAATTATCAGTCATACCACTGAAGAAGAGCCAAAAAGAACAGTGAAATTAGTATTTGGGGACGACATAAGATGGGCCCAAGTTCCTCTGAACTGCAGTATCTTGACACTAAGGGAGATCATAGGCGATCGTTTCCCAAGCTTAAAAGCAGTCCTAATCAAGTATAGGGACCAAGAAGGCGACCTGGTTACGGTGACAACAAACGAGGAATTAAGGTGGGCTGAAGCTTCTGTAGGACATGGTTCTATAAGATTCTATATCGTGGAAGTTAGTCCGGAGCAGGATCCTTTCTATGAGAAGATCAAAGGTGTGGAAGACGATCATAAATACAATGCACGACATGATAAGATTGTTGAAAATGGAAATGTTGAAAGAAGCAAGGAATTGCATAATGGACCAGTTTGCATTAATGATTGGATCTTCCAGTTTTCTAATTTGTTCAAAAACTATGTTGGATTTGAGTCCGATGCTTATCTGGATCTCCATGAAGTCGGAATGAAGCTATACTCTGAGGCTTTGGAAGAGGCAATCACAAGTGAAGAAGCTCAATGCCTTTTCAGCACAGCTGGAGAAACATTTCAGGAGATGGCTGCTTTGGCATTGTTCAACTGGGGTAATGTTCATATGTCCAGGGCACGGAAAACGGTCTACTTGAAAGAAGATAGTTCCGGAGAAGCTTTGCTTGCACAGATA